ACAGGGTTTGCAACTAGCAATTCAGTATCAGGGCCACGGCTGATTACTGCTACTCTAAGAGGACGGCTTAGTTCCATTCGAAGACGAGAGCACAATGCATTCTGTTTGCTTGAGTCAACTATTTTCTTACCATCCGCTTGCATGATAAATAAGTCCAGCTCACATTCTGTTTTCTCTTTCGTTGTCAATCTCCCATATGAAATCTGGTTAAATTTATAACGTGCTACAATCAGAAATTTGGGTGACTTGCATCTATAAACACTACAAATGAACAAGTAATGCTGGTAATGAAAAAACAAAAAAATTGATCGAGAAGATAAGTTCTTGCAAATCAAGCATGGCATCATATGATTATGATGACACGTGAATTTTGCACTGGAAAGCTGCTGACTTCGTTTTTGTTAATGGCACAAAAAGAACAGGAGAATAGACCAAACGGAGCCAATTGTATCACAGGGTTCTATTCAAATTATATCAAAATAATCTCAGAAAAAGGATAATGAAACTACCCATTCATTCAATCCAAATAGTGGAAAATTTCAGCATGCAAGCTTTTATTACATTACAATTAGAAGGTAATATATTATACATCAACAAACTGAAAGTTACGCACCTGGATATTATAATCCTTCAAAGTACGCATTATATCATATAGGAGGCCTTTGTGATCCTGACATACAATTTGGACAAGCGTGTGAGCAGGACTCAACAAGTTATCCATCGTGATGGATGGACTCCTGAAAGCCACAGATCCAATTTTGCATTCATTGGGCGGGTCCATGTTAAACATCTCTTCAGTAAGTTCATCAGGAAGAAATGACGGAGCTTGTGAACATGCAGTTGTTTCAGGGCATACCATTTCTATATCACAAGAGATCATAGCGTCCCCTAGAACAAATTTTAAATGGTCATGTGTGTCCTCCTGTCTCTTCTTCGTGTGTAAAAGTTCCCTGATGGAAAATTGTGAAGAATACCAAGTCATTGAACGGGAAATATTGATGAAATTTGTAGATGTGTCGGTAAGACAAGAAAGGAGAATATATGCAAACAAGTGAGGGTAGCACAAATTGAGGATAAATCAAGAGAATGACTACTTGGATGGTTCATAAAGAGACGCGATCTTAGTAAAACAAATTAGAGGAGAGAGGTATAGTATAAACCAACACTAACATAAACAGTTTTCTTTAAAGATCTAATTCCTTTGAATCTTCCAACGCTGACAATAAACCAAAAGGATTGTCGATAAATGATTCATCTAGCCAACCCAAATTTATCAAGGAAAAAGGCTTAGTTTGTTGTTCTTGTTATTGTTGTATTTATTCAGTACTTACTTCTTCTGGATGGCATGTTTACTCATGACATCACCTCTATATACTCTGGCATTCTCAGAACTTGTATTACAAATTAATTCTACTATACTACATCCCTTACAAGACAGATTTCTGATTTAATGCCGAGTATTTCCTACAGTCTAGATTTATTTGTTTGAAAAGATTATAAAATGTCCATAAAAAGGAAATTATCAAGATAACCGACTTTTAATAGAACTAGAGAACCATTTTAAGAATACTGTGATTGAAAAGTATTTCCCTACAGGTGCACAAACAAGAAATTAGGAGCAGAAAAATCTATTGCAATACAGTGAGAATAACCAAAAGTAGCTGATAATAATTTCTAAGACTATAAAAAATACAGAACAGAACCTCGTGTCAGTGATGAAGAAGAGATCCATGGTTTTTTCATCCGGAGTAGTTGATACCTTAACTCTCTTTATAGTAAGCTCGAGCTCGCATAGGACTTTCGTCACATCTGCCAAAAAATTGTCCAAAATTCAACTAATTGGTCTAATCCACATATCCTTCTTGGTCGAGATACTTTACTATCCAACAACAACACGGCAGAAGTGGGGGCAGAAATTGGATATACTAAAACATGAACGACAAGTAAATTATCAGAAAACGCCATACAACTCTCATATCTTTACAATTCAAGGATGACGAAGAACCAAGGAATAAATTGAAAATTTATGATTGAAATTTTAAAACTCAAAGTTCCAAACGAGAAAGCAAAGACAAGAACCAAGTCAAGAAAACGAGATTTAACTTGGAAAATTAACAATTCTAGCAATCAATGATCATTTCTATATAAAGTTGTGCGACATACCATGCAAAAGGCCTCTCCTATCATGGTAACAGAACTTCAGAAGGAACACATCCGGAGGCCTCGGAGGCTGCAATTCGGCCTCGTAATAAGGAATCCCAGAAGCCAAGAAACAAGAAGGGCATGCCCCCAACAATCTCTTCTTCAATAAACCCCATCTTGTACTCGGTTTGCCAAAAACCCAAAATACTAAATAGCACCATTTTCCATCAGTAGATACATCTTCATAGACAGGAATCGCAAAAAAAATGAGAAGAAAAGTTAGCAAGAACCAGTAGCAGCCATAAATATAGGCAGTCTACATAGACGGAGAGAAAGATTCATTCAGCAGAACAGTGTTATTTTCAACAACTTAAATTGACCTAAAATTAACGGTAAGGATTAAACCGAAACTGACAGACAAATACATGCAGCAAATTGTCAAGAAACCATAACAAAATTTCTCAAGAATTTGCAGTGCCCCTTTAACAATTTATCAAACAGGACACCGAGAAAATAAATATGTGTCCGTATTATGCATTCTGAATTTTAACAGAAACCCAAAACTTGTTTATATCCGCAGAAAACACATACCAATTCTAACAACCGTGAGTCCAAAGAA